ACGGTACCGACTTGTAGCACAAAACTCACCCTACAGGAGCTCTGTCGTCTGCACAGGAAGAACGGGAACCCTACACTGACTTGTTGGTGGGTAACGGGAACTATACGAAAGCACAGACAGGAAATACTCGAGATAAGGGAGCGGGATGGCGGACGGCATGAATCACAGCCGCTCACAGACGCGCTCTGCCTGGCGTCCAACTCAGCTGGCGTCTGCCAATTCCAATTGATAACAAAGATGGGGAGGGCAAAAATCAACACGTTCGTACGGTACCGACTTGTAGCACAAGTTGTTGTTCGTTCAGACACGCGAAACGCACCCTGCTGACCTCTGTCTCCGGTGTAGCTTCCAGCGTCTGTTCCTCGACCTCCATGGGTCCAAATATCTCATCTAAATCCGCGTCTGTTATCTCTTCCATGTAGAAATTAGGCAAACTCTCCATGACACAAGAAGGCAAGATGGCGGACCAAAAAAAATAAGTCAGGTGATGTGGGCGATACCACTTTTTGTAGGGGTGTCAAAATAAGTATGGTTTTTGCTCTCCCGTTCAAATTCTATCTATTTACATATACATTTCATACTCACACACATTTTAGTTTATATGAAGCTTAAAAAAAAACATAATTTTGTCTGACCAGGAAACTGCTATGAATATTAACAGAAAGAGCTGTGTACCCCTATATCATTATGGTTTCACCCATGGTTTATGGAGAATAACGCACGGCTGAGCCATGGTTTATCGGAGAATAAAGCACGGGTAACGGAGGCCTCTGATTGGTCTACGCCACCCGGCTATATGATAATTCCCTATATACACCTTTCTTTCTATATTTATCATCTGTGTACTAGTACCTTTTTCAAAGAAGGGCACATGCTGTTTGGGTTATGCATCTAATATCTTTTTCTGCCTTGCAGGGAAACCTTCCGAGTAGTTGGCTTTGAGGTAGAGCCAAGGAGGTGGGTATATTGCAGCTACTTTGTTCCTAAAGGCCATTACCACTTCATTAGAAAAGAGTAACTACCATGCATACATGTACCTCTTGGTACTCTGACAGGCAGATATTGACATGAAAGACACTCTTCACTCCATCAACCTGTCTCAGTTTCAATTTCAGAAAAACAATCAAGTACTGCTTTCAGAGGCTGTTTTCCAGTATACAATGAAGTCAAGTAGTGAAATACCAAGATGAGCATTTTTGGACTTATGGATTTTTTCTACCTTAGTATAAAGTATGGGGAATTGACAGCGAAGGATGGAAAGTGCAGCTTTCCTTCCGACCCTGAGAAGAAGCTTGCTGGCCAGGCTGTGAATGAAAAGCAGGATACAGAAGTCATGTTCACATACACAGTGGAATGGAAGGTAAGATTGTGTTTTACAATGGAAGTACATTATAAAGTACTTAGAGGTCTATTTTGTTTATAGTTCTATTTTGTATGTCTGCAATGTTGGTATGGAAATAAAGAATTGAATCAGGGCTTTAGCCAGCTCGGAATTTTTTACCGTCAACCCCAGGTCAACCCAATTCGCGAAAAAAAATACTGTCAACGCGAAAAAAAATTCCGTCAATGATTACTTTTAAAGAATGTCTTTCACGAGCCGGTGATCGACATCACACCCTCCCGCACACTTAATGCATTCGGTGTTCTAAATACCCGTCAAGATTGCAGAATAAAAAAAACCTACACAATCTGCAATTTTGCAGAATGAAAATAATCTAGAGTTCTCACAAGGAGACAACACGCAATGAACAATCCACTATTCCCTTTGTTTTGATCCGCTCAAATCCCGCCGCGATTCAAGCCGCAGCGGCTTCCCCAGTCAGCCAGCCAGTCATGACGTCACAGCCTCCGATTTCCACCGAGCCGCCCCGAGCGCTGACCGACAGCGGACGATGTGGCTCAGATCTCCGACGATTTCCTTATTTAGAGCGTTCGGAAGACTTCGGGTAGCAAACAAAATGGCCGACATGTACATGATTTTACTTGTCATCTTCGCTTCTAAACCGAAATGAGGAAGTTACAGCTCCTTTGCGGACTTTAGCGGCCATGAAGTTGACTTGGGGAAGCGCTGAGACGCGATTTCGCTACGGCATAAGGGATTTTGCCGCGGAGGGAGTTACGTGGCCGGCAAAAACTCGCGTGTCAGCGATCTTCCAGAAATCTTTGATCTTTATGATGCCGCTCAAGTCTTCGCGCGAAGGAGGTCTGACAAAGTTTTAGATTAAATAAGGCCACATTCTGTGGATCAATCTCCGTTTTCTTGCGATAGTATGATTATTCAAGTACAGTATATTTTCAAAACGTTTGATATTTCTTTGTTCGTTGTCACATGTTTATTTATCGTATTGTCATGTACAGTTAGCAGCGACGTGTGTCTGAGTTGAGCCATTGTTTTATTTTATTCTTATGTGGCCGTTAGCACATGTTGTTTTAACAGACAGCAACATTGAACAATAGAACCAAGTCAACAGACGTCGGCACGGTCCTTGAAATCAGGTTTCCCGCCGCCGTGCGTTCGGAAAAGACGCCGCGCCGTGGCTCATTCAAATTCGCTAGATTTTTTCAATGTCTTTACCCACGATTTTCGGCCGTCAATGTTGACGGTAAGGACTAAAATTTTTACCGTCACACGGGACAAATTACCGTCAATTGACGGTAAAACGGGCGCTGGCTAAAGCCCTGAATTGAATTGAATTGGAAAAAAAGTAATTTTCAATGACAAAAGCACAATGCCTAATAACATACCAGCTCCTAAATGTTTCGAATTGTTGCATAACCCACCCCAGGGAACAAGACTAGTCCATACAGTTCAGTTGCCATTTTTGATATTAGAATTTAGATGCATGTCTTACCACTACAGACTCAAATATTTCTGTGTCCAGGAGATGTAATTGTTTACTTGTAGCAGCTATCTTAGCAAACTGAAAATCTATGTCAACCTACTACCTCATACATGAAATGTTTGCTGTAAGCCAGTTTGTTGCTCTTGCTGTTTCCTACCACAGAGAAGCCTGGTGCGCTGGGCCTCGCGCTGGGACACCTATCTCACCATGACAGATGTGCAGATTCACTGGTTCTCCATCGTCAACTCTGTGGTTGTGGTCTTCTTCCTTGCTGGTGAGTTGTACCTTTCCTAGCACTATATTCAATCCTTTAGAAAGTTATGGTTGATAATGACCTGATGTGCTCATGCATGGATTATGGAAGTTGTTTGACCTCCTGAATGTTTTTTAATGTATTTTTACTGTGCTTTGTGCAGGGATCCTAACTATGATCATGGTGAGAACTCTGAGGAGAGACATTGCCAACTACAATAGGGAGGAGGATGTGGTAAGAAAACTTCAGATTTATCCAAATAAACCTCATCATTTTCTAATAAGAGCCTCTACTTGGTCAAGAATTAGGAAATAATAATAGAGAGAATGATAGAGAAATCAAGAGCCTGAAAATGTGGCATGCATAACCTTATATGTGGCATAGCTGTTTCTCTGCCTTGTAGACTTCATTTTTTTGTTCTAGTGTACCGGTATTATTTTTTTTTTATATTCTAGATAGGAATGCTTTGGCACATGAAAAAGTGGATTCTTGATTGATGTTGGAAATGGTTGTCATATTTCCAGGAGGAGACCCTAGAGGAGACAGGTTGGAAGCTGGTGCATGGTGACGTGTTCAGACCACCACGGTACACCAAGCTGCTCTCCTCACTGGTCGGGGCAGGAGTGCAAATCTTCTTCATGTCTGTCATTACGATAGGTATGCTAGCATTTCAGATTTCAGACTTCTAAAGTCAAACCTGTACGAATGACCACCTCTACATAAGGACCACCTGGTCTATATGGCCACTTTTTGATGGTCCATTAGATGAATTCTCTCATTGACACAGTTCTTTCAGAATTGACTTTCTTTTCGCTATGCTATTCATTCTTGTTGGTAATATGTCTGCAATGCTGAAACTTCATGGTCAAATCTCTTTGTGTTTCTGTAGCATTTGCTATGTTGGGTATGTTGAACCCATCCATGAGAGGTTCCCTGATGACATCCATGATCTTCTTGTTTGTCTTCCATGGGTGAGTTCTAGCTCCTATGTATCTTGTATGTACATACTTAATTCTGATGCAACTTAGAGTAAGTACTCATTATAGGTTGTACTTTGCTCTTTGAAGTTGCAAAATGTGAAGTACCCTAAATCTTTCTGTGAATCTTTAACTGGCCGAGCACTTAACTTGTCAGGTGCACTCTGACTCTGTAGACCTATGCTATATCAGCCATGTGTACAGGGCTAAAAATACCACCTGCCTATGCAGGTAAAATTTTGCAAGTATTTCTGACGTCTACCTAACATGCCCCGGTCTATGTGCTGGGTTTACATGTATATATATACCTACCTATTGATGTATGTGAATTTCATTTTTCACTCATTCATTTGCAGTGTTGACTATCACCACCAATGAAGTATTAAACTTAAAGATTTAATGGCAATGGTTTCTGAAATGTTATTTTGAACCCTGGTGTAGAATGCATGCACACTAAAAAGTGCCCAGTCTAATTCTGTTGTTGATCTTTTCACAGCTTGATTGCTGGGTACTTCTCTGGGAGGCTGTATAAGAGTATGAAAGGCACCACATGGAAAACAGCAGCATTCCAGACTGCCACGATATACCCTGGCATCGTCTTTGGAACAGCTTTTCTGCTGAACTTCTTCATCTGGGGGGAGCACTCGTCAGGGGCTGTGCCCTTCACCACTATGCTGGGACTGCTGGCCATGTGGTTCGGCATCTCTCTCCCACTGGTCTACCTGGGCTACTACTTTGGCTTTAGGAAACAGGTGTTTTTTTTTTTTTTTTTTGGTTTGTCATAGCCAGTAAACACAACAGTTTTGTATAAGTTACAGAAGACCAAACTGTAAGGTTTGATCCACTCACACCAGAATTGACTAGTCTTATGGATAAGTGTGGTGGGTCCATTAAAATGCTCTAGGTAGTCATTTTCACATGAGTCTATTGAGGAAATAGGTGTAAATTGCTTCTCCCTAAGGCACAACATTGATGTGTACTATAGATTTGAGCCCAGAACCACAAGGCCACCTTGCCTCTGACCTCTGTGCCTTATTGTCTTCTGTTGTGTCCTCAACTCAAGTTTCACATGAACACCAATCATTTCACACCTTGCCTGTGTTGTTTCCAGCCATATGAGGTCCCTGTGCGAACCAACCAGATCCCTCGCCAGGTCCCTGAGCAGGTCTGGTACATGAACCCACTAGTGAGCATGCTCATGGCAGGCATCCTCCCCTTTGGTGCTGTCTTCATCGAGCTGTTCTTCATCCTCACTGTAAGTAATGTATTGCACTGGGTTCTTCCCAATAAGAGGTACATGTAGTCTTGTCATTATTTGCAGTTTACATAGTAGTGATAGAATACTCTTTTCAATCCTATTAGTATATTATAGAACCTATATCCTGTCAATGTATGTACATCACTGCCACTTCTGTATTTGTATGCTAGTACTTACCCTGAAAGGGTAACTATATACAACGAACACAGAAGAGATGTCATTTAGCATGTCAGTTGTGGCAATCATTGCAGCCCAATGACACATTAAATATTTTTTCCAGGCCATCTGGGAGAACCAGTTCTACTACCTGTTTGGGTTCCTGTTCCTGGTGTTCAGCATCCTGGTCATCTCCTGCTCCCAGATCTCCATTGTCATGGTGTACTTCCAGTTGTGTGGGGAGGTGAGCAAGGGGTAGTACCAGTGACAGGGGGAGGGGGTCATCATGGCTAATCTATTATTTTTAATCTGTTATTTTACAGCTGCTAAAATTAAAGTCTGACATTGTTAATTTAGTGCACCTGTCTAACAGCTCTTCGTCTGTTTGCAGGACTACCACTGGTGGTGGAGATCCTATATTGTCTCAGGAGGTTCAGCCATCTATGTGTTCCTGTATGCCATATTCTACTATATGACCAAGGTAAGACTAGTTAAATGCACATTGAGTAGTGAGTCTCCTTAGGCATAAAGCCACCTTTTTTACTTTGAATAAGTTTATGTACATTGACATCTGATTCAACTGTTACTGTTTCCTTATCCATATAATGAAATCTGTAATCTCCAATCACTATTTTTACTACCAGTATCATTTATTGCCATTTGCCTTATTTGACGTGAAACAGATTTTATCTATTTCTAGTATGCAGAGTATCAACTAAAACCATTTCTTTGTTTGACAGCTGGAGATAGAGGACTTCATCCCAGGGTTGCTGTACTTCGGCTACACGTCCCTCATGGTCTTCACCTTCTGGATCCTGACAGGAACTATCGGCTTCTATGCTGCCTACATCTTTGTCAGAAAAATCTACAGTGCTGTCAAGATAGATTAATGACCATGCTGATGTGAGCCATCCTGAGCAATGTAGACAGAGTCCATAGACCTGTTGTTCTTTCTATTGATGGCTTTCCAAACTTAGACATATTGAATTTTGGTGTTTTTACAAGTGAAAATTTGATTCCTCTTGACTTGACTACCGGGTATTAAAAAGGGAACCCTGGCTTGAGTCTCTTGAGATGCTGATCTACATATGCATTTTAGAGTGATTTTACATTACAACACCTTCAGTTTTGGATTGTTTAAAAAGTTTGAATGATGACAGACAGAATCAGACAGCTTTGAGTGTATTTTGTACATTCCACTGCAGGTCTGATGACATCAGCAGGAGGGCTTTGTAAGCATTGTTTGTATGGAAAGCCATCAATAGGAAGTTAAGTTGTGAAATTTGGGTTAACTTGAACAAATTCCATAGACTTCCCACTTTTGGGAAGTGTTTTTGTTGTTGTACATTTCAATGGTGGAATGCAAGAAGTATACTAGGTTTGAAAGGGTAGATTTGAGTCAGATTTAAATTGAGATGATACCTACATTTTGTAGTAACTCAACTGTACATGTAGTCAAAAACTCATCTCAGACATTCACGGTTGTTAGCAGCATTCACACACAAACCTGGAGTAATTCCTCAAATTACAGACTGGCTACTTTCACATGCGTGATGTTGATACCTACCCTTTGCTGCAGTGCAAGTTGTATGTATTTTGTTTATGTCTGCAAAGAAAGTCAACACATCTGCCAATGTTACATATGTAACAAGATATGAGTTTAGCATGTGGTGCCCAGGATATTTAAGATTCCTATGGAAATTGACAATTGCAATGGATTCTGTTACTGGTATGTAAAAGAAGAGAAGACATTCTTAGCCAGCATGTGCTAGAAGTTAAAGAATAACATTTCCCTTAGAGTATCACAGACATGTATGTACCTTTGTCATGGATTTTTCTTTGTCCCATCGATAGAATTTATTCATCAAACAGTTGCGTCAGGTTAAAAAGTGCTTTGTTATCTCTTACCGGTATGTTAGCACATACATTAATTTTAATTCAGTTCAAGGAATGCCGAAACTGTTGCCAGTATGTGTGGTTTATTTTGCAATTAAACTTTGCATTGCCTTACTCAACCAGCTAGCTGTAAGATAGCATCAATATCATGCATTTACCTGATTACCAGATATCTTCATTTAAGTGGCTTGTTTCGTTGTGCAGCAACTTTTTTCTTACCCAAATTCAGGAAGATTACAAGTTATCAACTTGCCAATTCTTGTACCAAACCTGTACAATTTATGCTACTTAGCTGTTGGTGTTATTTTTAATTTAAAGGTACTTTTTGCATGTATTGAGATGTAATGTCTCACAAAAATCTTCCATGATATATAGAGATGCTTTTCTTCTAGGTCTGTTAAGTTCATGTAGTTTGCAACCAGGTATACGTCTTGATGTTTTATGTTTTAAGCTTTTGTTGATTTATACATACATTGATATTATGTTCAAATAGTGTACTTTTTTGGGGGACTAGACACTGAATTTTTTTTTGCCATGTAAGGCGGTGAAGGTATTACTTGGAGAGAATTATGTAAATAGAGGTGTACTTTAAATGGCTATATTTATTGGAGTATTTCTTGTTATTTTACTACGGGCAGATGCACTTATGAAATCTTGTCTTTGTTGATGTTTCATGCATATCAAGCATGATTGTGTAGAAACTAGTGTCTATGGTTTATTTGGTGATAAATACACTTCCCTAGTAATAGCTTTGTCAACAGTGTTGTGCTGTAGCCAGTTCCAAACTTGTCAGAGAATTTTCAATATATTGACAATTTGTATAGTTTTATGTTTGTGCGTTTTTTTTGTTGTCATGTTGAGCTTTCTAACATAGATATGATTGATTGTTAAAACTAAAATGTAACTGGTCGATGACAATCACTGCACTACAAATTCGTATGTGTCAAAAGTTTGGGCTCTATGATTTCAGTTTTAATTGCTTTGAATTCTTATATTATTATTATTAAAAAAAGATGAAATATACAAACAGCTGCAAATAAAACTTGCCAGACTTAACCACTTCACTTAATTAACAAAACTCATGAACATCCATTTATAGCTAGCTTTTTTAGACTAGTAACATCAAACAGCACAGAAACATAACTCACTATGCCAACACTATAACCCTGTCCTTGGTGCTGATTGTCTACCAGATCGAAAATCGTGACAAATCAGCTAAGAAAACTTTATTTTTACAAAAGGAAGTGCACCTTCCACTTACTTGGCCCCATGAGGAGCATAGGCCAACAATTACTGCCCTCCATCCAGATTCCACTTGGTCTTTAAAAATTATTCATCATCATCATCTTGCGGCTGCATTTGAGCAAAATTATTAATACCTGATAACATACCATCACCTGTGGATCAATTGAAAGAAGTGAAGTGGTCAAGAAGAACCTCAAGTGAAAGGAGATTGTCTGCAGTGAATCGTAAAGGGGGAGGATATTGTCTAAAAGGCTGTCAGAGAAATGCTTGCCAACATAAAATCTATTGTATCTGCTCCAAAATTGGCAGACCTAATTGTCAGTACAACAATTCTGGCAAACCTGTGCAAGATTTATCACACTTTCTTATTTCGTTCATTGCCTTTTTTTTTCAACATCATCACACCTAAAGACACCAGAAGAGGTGTGAAAATGTAGAAGCTGCAACAGGTGCACCTGAAATATGAACACCTGTCAGGGACGACAGGGGACCAATCAGCGTTCTTGCTTGTGATCACGTGGGTGTAACCAGCGCCGCCATCTTGGTTGTTGTGTTCGTCTCTGGGTCCAGATGGGCATTGTTTCAACGGCTGGTCGATCGGTTTACATGTACCAACGGCTGCTTAAACAAAAGCAGTAGGTCTGAACATCTCAAAGAATAACTGAAGTGTAAAAAAAAATCACACCGAAGGTAAGAATAGTCTCCTAATTTCAATCGCTGAATTATGTTGGGTAACGTTATAATTTACGTGGGGTGGGGGCGCTAAGCTTTTAAATCGTTATTGTGTCAACATTAGAAAGTTTACGTTTCAGGCACTGGGATTTTGCGTTGTGTTTGCTCACTGGAACAAGTAATAAATGCCATGTTGTTGTTTGGCAATAGCCATGCCAGGTATGTCTGAATTATGTAACATACTGCTGGATAATTCTGTCGGGTAGTAGTATCATAATTGATGGAATCTAAATATCTAACGGTCGTGTCCAACAAACTAAAGCAACACAGCATACATCAACCAACAGGTATACTCTGAAATCCTAAAGACGTACTTGAGGTGAAGAGTGTACTTAATGATTACAATTTATTGTAGGTAACGTTAGTAGCAGCTCCTCATTTCAGTATGCATAGAATTTTAGAAAACTCCATTGATTGACATGTATGGACAAAAACTCTGATTTTATACCATTTTGTGGAAGGTGGCATCAGGCTGGTAAAAAAGGACCCAGCAGAAACCACCTGAGCTTGTAATCCTGACTTCATTAGTCTGAGCAAATTCATCATCCCCATTTATCAATAAGGAATGTCAATGACATGTTAGATTGTAAAACAGTGGTTACCATAATCCAGTCATTAGCAGCTACTGAGCCCTGACATGTTTCTGATTATCATCATGCCTATATGAGTACAGGTGATGAATTGACGTATGTGTCAGTCCTAGTCCTAACTGAATGGTAGGAGTCCTTTGAATCATTCTAGATCTGAATCACCTCCAAATGTTTATATCTAGTAGTAGTAGAATGAATGAATGTGCCAGTGATTCATCAGTTTGGTTCCAAGGACTGAGTTTTGTCAACATCATCAGACTGACAAGTAGATGGGAATAGCAATTTTACATGTGATTTTGAGATACAATTGTGTTTTTTTTAGATAACAAGAGCAATATGTAAATTTTTACATATCACAGCATTTTAAATTGCAAACAGACATTATTATGATTCAGGTTACAACTGTAACTGTTACATTGGCAATCATGAAGTGGTTGAAATTTCCAAAGAGGATCACCACACAGGTATTTCTTGACTGACTAAAATGTTGATTAACAAATTTTGTTAATGCCTAGATCTGCACTATTTTTAAAGATTTCTCATGTATGTTATGCACGCTATAATACTGAAAAAAATTCCCAAGGGATGACAATTCAATTTAGTGCCTATATTTCTTATCAGTTTTAGTTCACTGAAGAGGAAAATTATGTACTTCAGAATTGCTGACAGCTGTTGTACATTCAACAGATCATTTGACAAATTTCATCCATTGGTGCTTCCTCGGTTAGCTTGAACCTAATACTGGAAAATTCCACAAGTCACATGACCTTGTTTGCCAAGCCCAAATCTCACATCACTCAGGAGCAAATGGTACTTTCTGGAAGCTCTATAGATTTACACCAGAGGTATGTACCTGTGGCTTATTAAGGCTCCGTTATTTAATATTTCTCTTGACTTGTTGAATGTTCCAAAAGAGTTGAAATCATGTAGGTACATATTGTATATACTTATTAGTTGTTTTCAAATTATTGCATTTTTGCCTTTTAATTTTAATTTTTTTTGTGTACACGTTTTGAATGTTGTATATTGCAGTTAAGTTATCACTGAATGTGTACATGTAGGACTACTGGGCTCATCCATTGATTAAGCACAGTGTCTGTTTCTTTGGTCTTATTAATTTGTATAAATTCTTAAATGGATGCATCCTCTGTAGTTACTGTGTAACTGTACAAAATATAGTTCTGTCTTTTAGAAAGGGAGAGGCAGTGATACTAACTACTATAGCAATTATGAAGGATGGTACCCATGCTAGTACTAGTAGTACTAGTAGTAGTAGTAAATTCTGTGATATGCGACTGTCACATTTCAGTAATTGGCATTGCTACATTGAAGGACAGTACATCTATATCACTAGTTGAGACCAGTTCCAGGTTCAGGCATGGGCCTTAGACTAACTTAGGATTAGACTAAATACTAGTAAGCCCAGACAGTTAAGTGTGTAATTTGGTATGTGGTATTATAAATATAATGTGTTCATAATATACACTGCATATGCATGTACTAGTTTTGCTTCTGCTTATACATGTAAATACCAGATATGTATTTGGTGTCTGTGGTCCTTAGCTTTAAAAAGTCCATGAAAAGTGGCCATGGCCGTTTATGTGTCACGTCATGGTATGTGGTTATTGTAAATCTGTATTGACCCTTACTTATTCATGAGCTGGAAGCAAACATGATACCCTAAACAGCCAAATGACTAATCTTCTTTCTGGAGCATTTGATGTTTGAAAACCACTCAGCACGGTAAAAGCTTTCAGAAGAGGTTCAGCTTTACTAGTGCTGTTGTTCCAATAATGCAGAACCAGATGTTTTAACAGCAGGTCCTACAGCTTACTGGGAAGTCAGGGATCATAGGAAGGTTTTAAGTTACACAAAGGGATGTTATGAGACTGGTGTGCTTGGTAACGCTTGGAGTAGGAAGTAGGGTTACATGATGTTTTGTCTAGTTGTTGTATGTGCAGAATTTCATTCTCATGCAGTCACAAAGAGCAAAGGGTTGTACTGTGATACACAAAGATGATACTGTACCGTACTGCAATTTAGGTACATACACTGAAATTTAGTCCATTTCATGTAAATCATGTATACTCCAAATATTTTGATACCTTACAAGTTACAAGGACATGGCTTAAACATCAACTGTTGCAAATTCTATCCCTTGCTGCAGGTTCATTTTGCACCATGTAGGATGGACACCTGTTAACGACACCTGTTACCACCTTAGGCAAGTGTAGCAGCTGGGATGGAAGTCCGCTGTGGAGGTCTGCTCTTCACCTCCAAATTTGACTCAGGTAGGACCAAGCTCATGTTTAGTGCTGTCACTAATAAGATTGTAGTACTTTCAAGATTGTATTACAATGTAGTTTCAAACAGAAGAATTTCTGTACCTGGATAGGCTGATTGATCAATTTGCACATTGCAAGAATGCATACCATTAAGTTTTGATGAATAGATTCTGTCAACACTTCTGTTCTTCCCAGGAAACCTCGCCCGTGTGGAGCGATGTTCTCGTGATGACTCTGATGAGGGCGGGGGCCCGGGGACCAGCCCGCTCACCCCCGACTTCGAGTTCAACGTGTGGACCAAGCCTGATGCCGCAGGAACACCCCATGAAAACGGCAACAGGTAAGTCTGCTTGAAAGGCAAACACTTTTTTATTTGCACAACACTAGCTTTTAGTTTTGCAAACATATCATGGGAGCATTTAATTTTGGAGGGGGTAGGAGAACCTGTCATGAGAGAGCTTTTAAAGGGAAAAGTCTATTATCATGTATTAAGAAGGTAACTAATTGTAAAACATAATACATTGAATGGATTGATAACACTATCATGTTGTCTCCTTCCTATATAGGTCTTGGTTCCACTTTGGGGTCAGAGGTTACCCACCAGGAAAGTTGATCAAAATCAACATCATGAACATGAACAAGCAGGGGAAACTGTACAGTCAGGGGATGACTCCCCTCTATAAAACCATCCCACATCAGCCCAAGTGGCAAAGGATAAGGGACAAACCCACATACGAGGTAAGAAATATGGACCTTACAAACTTTAAAATAAGTACTCAGGCCACACCAATTTAATTTCTTGGTTAACGGATTTTTCTGGAAAAAAAATGGAGCGGGCGGGCGAAAAAAAAATAAAAATAAAAATTTGAGACCACCTGCCATACAGCCATGTAGTAAGCAATCCATTAAGTTAAGTTACAAAATGATATAAGACATTATATTAGACACTTATTGAACTGAAAGGACCATTACTACATGTACATGAGCAACTTCTCTTACATCCCTTTACAATTATTCGTATTATTTTGCAAGATACACATCTTTACTGTATGAACAACAAACTGTCACTGAGTGTCAGTTGACAAGACTCCCATCCAACTGGTTTCACTTTTATTCATCTTTCAAAGTTCCAAAGAGTGGTTTAAATCAGGGTGCTCTGTTCAGATCCCATTGTTTTCTTAGTTCAGGGCACACAGCTTACCACTGGGCTGGGCATTCTATTGTGTCTGGCTGATATGGAAGTTATTTAGAGCTTGAAA